CTCGACTGAGATCCCTACAGTCACCAGCAGAGTACTGTGTCCTCAGAAGAGGTGACACAACTGGTGGAGCCCACTCTGATCTCCAGTGTACCCACTACACTCACTTTACCTCACCTCTGAGGCGCTACATTGATGTCATTATACAACGCCAGCTTCACGCAGCACTGAACCACAGGCCCAATGTATACAATGCTGATGAACTCAGATGCCTGTGTGAATCCACACAAAACATGCTAAAGAAAGCCAACCAGTATGAAAGAGATGTCAAATCTCTACGATTTTTGAAGAATCTCATGACAAGTCAGGTGATGTACGATTGTGTCATCTCTGAAATGGACATCAAGCAACAGAAATTTTCCCTCTGCTTTACCGACGTTGAACTTCGTCTCGGTCCAAAAGCAAGAGAAATCACAACACAGCAGCTTCAGAGAAACTACTCTACAGTAAAGAAGGAGTCTGCAGAGTTAGAGCCCAAAATGCCGTATCAGTGGAAAGTGAAGCTGTGCTCAATGAATGGTACGCCTGCCAGGTTCCTAGACCCTGAAAAGGTTGAAATATTCCCTAGACCAGATGAAAATGGCCAACTGAGCCAACTAAGCTTCTATTCACCTGACGAGTTCAAATGTCTTGTAAAGAAAACAGTCAATATCATGATCAAAAGCAATGTGGTAGCAATCCCCACTAAGACTTGGAAGATGTTGCAAAAGTGCACAATGAAAGGACAGAACAGTGTAGAAATCAACAGCAATGCAATTCTTTGCAATCTTCCTTCTGCAGAAGAAAGCAACCCCATTCCCCACAAAGACCGGAAGTCCACTCTCCTTGTCTACACTCTGACCAAGGAACTGAAGCTGTTTGATGTGATGAAGGCTCAGCTGTGTGCCACACAGGGAAAGAAGGGTCTGACACAGGAACCAGCCATACAGTTGCTAGAGGTAGGTCCAGGCCTTCAGATATGCGTCCACCACAACAGAGATCCTGAAACGTGCTTCGTTGGGAAGATAACTCAACATGCCTCAAAAGAGAAATATGATTCCCTGACAGAGTACGTCAACTCCTGGGAGCCACTCGTACTGTCTGAGTCAGCCTTGACCAGTGTGAAAGAGAGTGAGCTCCTCCTAATTAGAGATGTGGAGCTCCAATGGCCGGACTTCCAGCTCTGCACCAGCTCCTCTGGCGACACTTACTACGTAATGAAGGAAAGCAACGATGCAGACAAAAATGGGGCTTTGATGAGTCTTTCGACTGAATTTACGCAATTCTCTTTCTTCTACAACTTTAAAATGTCAGTGGGAGACTTGGTGTGCATGAGACTCAGTAGCAGTGATCACCAGACAAGATATGTGTTCCACATGGTCATCAATAGCGTGAATTTGACCGAAGGCATGGCACCAAAAGCAGACATCTACATGAAGTTTGTACTCAAAGAGTCCAACTACATAAGCTTGCAGGTTCATGATATGATACTGGCAGGAGACGCTTCGTGTGAGATTCAACTGATCCATTCATCTTTGCCTCAGAGGTAGGTTGATATTAACACAAAAGAGATAGCTATAAACTATAATTATAAATTTCATTTTCGTAGGAGAATGTACCGCTCATTGAGGAATATTTCTAGCGGAACAGAGCTTGCACAGAGAGTTGCATTGGGAACCTACATCACTTCTTCAAGTATGTATAATTATGGAGTGACATTAAATAAGATTATGTTTACACATTGCATAGAACACACTCGAGGAATGGAAGAAGTTCTGTCGCCAGGTGAAGTAACTGTGGCCAGATCCTACTGGCCACTGAAGGATAAGAGGAGGCTTAATGTCTACCAGCAAAAGGCTATTGATCTGGCATGGAGGAACAAATTCACCATGATTCAAGGCCCTCCAGGTATAGATGTGTACAGCTCAGTGGGGTAAATGCTTGCCATTGAACATACATTTTTAGGCACAGGAAAGAGTGTGACTGGTGCCCATATTGCTTATGCTCTTGCCATGAGGCTTTGCGCGGAGCACTCTCCTGGGAAAGACAATAAACAGTGTGTCATGTACTGTGGCCCAACACAGCAGTCTGTGAATGTTGTACTGGGTAAGTTGTGCAGTAGTTAGCAAGTAGTGAACCTAAGCATGTAGCTATAATTATTCTTACTTGCCATTTCAACAGAAATATTCCTTGAGCTTCTGAATCACCCCACGCCGGCAAAGGAAAAATTAAAAATAATTCGAGTGTTTAGTAAGGCTTTGGAAAAGACAGACTTTCGTGGAGCTGAACTCGATGGTGACGTTTTTCTACACATAAAACCAAGTGCTCGTTGTGACAAAAGGCATGCAGAATACGCCTTGCACCACAGAATAAGAAGGGAAAACAAACAAATATTAGTGGAAGAAAGGCGATTCCAAGATTTGCACCGTGATGGCAGAGTCCCAAGCGTTGATGATATTGTGCAATACAGGAAAATGAAAGCTGATGCAGAAGAAAAAGTGCTCAAAAGTGGGATAAATATTGTTTTATGCACGTGCAATGAGGCAGCCAGTCACCGACTCACAAGCACACTCCAGCCAAAGTACTGTATCATTGATGAGTGTGCCATGGCCACCGAGCCAGAGTGTATGGTGCCCATCCGTAGAGCAGAACACGTGGTTCTAATAGGAGACCACCAGCAGTTGCAGGCAGTCATCCAGTCCAAGGATGCTGAAAAGATGGGTCTGGGAAAATCTCTCTTTGAAAGATATGCCACGAAAAGACATCCAATTCATGTTCTGGAGACACAGTACAGAATGGTGAGTATGAGGCACCCAACTTATTCACTGTTGCACACTCTAGTCGAGTAGTATACTAAATAATGAACACAATGCAGCGAGCGAATGCGAAAGCTGGTCACACGTGAATTTAGCGACTGGATGTGAGAGCTGGTCACACGTGCGCGGCATACACAAGTGCAAAATGTAAACATTACGGTATGTCCAACAACACTATCGTTTGATACAGTATCGCGTATTCAGACTAGCCTCACTCTGCTCGCTAAATAGGTGGTTTTAGTTGTGGGGGTGGCAGCAATGGCAGTAACCACTCATTAATGTATGTTCCCGGAGAAGAGGTTGGGGCTGCTGGCATACACACAGTTCAACTCCCTTTATAACTCTTGCCCCAGACACAGTATCCATCGGAACTACTCTTCCTTGTGAATCAATCAGCAAACTTTCATTGATGTATGCATTCAGCAAGCACAAACCATCTGGTTACACACAAGATTTTAGGTAGAAATCAGTCTGAAATATGGTTCACCAACGGGCTAGAAAACCTTCACATGCGCACATTACTTGCTTCACCAACCCAAGTACCAAGCATTAACAATCTTACTCTTCTTACAGCACCCTGCAATATGCGAATTTCCCTCAAAAGCATTCTACAATGGAAGACTCAAAACAGATCCATCTGTTATGAGAAGACAGAGTGGCCTGAACTTGACCCACTTCTGGCCGAAACATGACTCACCCATTGTCTTCTGTCAAGTGGAGGGAGAGGAAGAGACTGGACACATTGGGTCAAGAGGAAGTAGCTCACAGTCAAAGTTCAACATGACAGAGGCCAAGAAAATTGTGAGTAACTCAAGAAAATCCCTAAACCCTCATCCCATGTTAATTAAAATTCTCATCAGGTGGAGATTGCAGAGAAACTGGTCTGCCATTACAGAGTACCCAACAGTGAAATAGCCATTCTGACACCTTACTCAGCCCAAAAGAGGCTATCAGTGAAGAACTGAAGAAGAAAATTGAACAACAGAGAAGAAGGCAGGGAAGGAAGCTTAATAACAATATTCAAGTCAAAACTATTACTGAGAGTCAAGGTGAGCTTCTGCTGGTCAATGTTACTGCTCTTATGGTGATTATCACAATGTGTTTGCAGGAAGTGAGTATGGGGTGGTGTTACTGTCCACGGTGAGGTCTCGGAGGATGATGACAGGAGAGGAGGGGGAGACAGCTGACATTGGCTGGATCAGGAAGAACCTGGGGTTTGTGGCCGACCCCCACAGGATCTGTGTCGGAATTACACGCTCCAAGTTTGGTCTGGTCATTGTTGGTGAGTGGAACAACTATAGTGTAGAATGTACCTAGTAATTCACTGCTACTATAGGCAATGAGAATGTGCTCAAGTATGACAGGATCTGGAAGAAACTGATTGAGCACTACAGGAAAAGAGGGTGTTTTGTACGAGGTGATGAATTTCCACACTGAATATTTACAACTCTCATTGCCCATAACACTATAAAAATACATAGTTGTTTTACTCGTATCGTGTGAAACTGAAACGATATAATATTTTAGCCATAATATAGTCCTTTTTATATCTATTTTATAGTATGTTGTCCGTAATATAGAATCTGATGTTTTAGTCATATCATGTGAAACTTAAACGATGCTTTACTTAGTTAATATCTATTGTACCGCATTTTAAATAGTATCTTGAGTTTATCTTATCATTGTAGTAGCTGTAACATCTTTTATATCCCATTAAGAAAAAGTGATATGTTTTTAATATAAAAGTTACACTGCATAACTTTGATTGTCAGCTGTGAGTGCTTTCATGAGTACATCAATGTTCCAGCTGTGCAGTGCGGACACCGGCAAAACAGGCAGTCTAGTCACCCGCGCCAGTGAGCTCATACTCTCATTCCCCACTCTGTCCAAAACATCCATCTTGTTGCCCACAACGAGTCTGGCACATTGGTTCATGCTAGGTTGGTAACAGTCTAGCTCGTTCTGTAGTCTGTGCAGCTGAGTGACCATGTCATGCCGTTGTTCTTTGTATGGTGGTTTTACTCATTGAATTTTTTTGATCACTTGGTTTGATTGTGCAGGTATGACCCTGTCATTAGAGAGAACTATGAGTGGAGCCAGTCTCCCAGCTCGTGGATACACACACGATTTTAGGTAGAAGTATCGTCGTGGAAAAAAAGGAAGAAACAAGGGGTCATTACACAGCAAAGTTGCACAAAGCTACATGACACCATCCTATATCTTTGTTTTATTGCAAAGTTGAATATCGAATAAAGATATAGGGATGGTGTCATGTAGCTTTGTGCATCTTTGCTGTGTAATGACCCCTTGTTTCTTCCTTTTTGGTGCTTCAAGCCATCCCTATATCCCCCTTTCATTTCGAAGAAATGAATTTCCCACTTGTAGCTTTAGCAATATCAGGGGAATATCCAAATTGGAGAGAGAAGAGGAAGACTGAGTGAAAGAGAAAGAGAGTAAAAGACTTGCAAATGTACACACTGCACCTTAAGTACATACAGTTGGGCAGGCAAAACATCCGTAGTGATTATAATATAACTAAAAAGCAGGCACACAATATATACATACTGTAGCACTGTGCTATTACATCACCAGCTACGTACCTGCCCTCCAGAAGGTTGCTGGAAAACTCCATGATGTAACGAAGCCTCATGTCCATGGAAATCCGTCGAAAGTTATCTCGGTCTCTTCAAGATTAGCCTCGTGTACTGTCAGACCTAAATATATAGCAACATGTTAATACTGATACAGTTTGGGTTATGTATAATATAGCATACGTCATATTGTGGTGTATTGATATACTGCATAGACACAATCTGGATTTACTTGGCCAAAGTACATTTCAATGAATGGTGAATGCCTCTTGTGTCTTTTAAGATTGTAGCTGGTTCAAAATTAAGCCGAAACTTCAAAAGACATTTATTTCAGTGTTGGCTTGTGCCCTAAATCTTTGGTCAACCTCCCAAACCATTTCTACCCTGCGCTTAATTTTATGCTTAAAGTAGAAGTGTGCTCTCATGATACAATCCAGTCTCTCTGGTATAGGCTACCCAAGACTGTACAGGTGTCTACCTTTAGCACTCATCCCTGCAAGAGTGCCGTAGACAGGCAAACCCCAGGGTGGCCGAGGGGATGTCCTCGTCGTCAGGGATGACAACCATCACCACCTTGTGCTTGTTGACACCGGTGTCTTTGTTCCAGTTGAGATTGCGAGCTGAGTACAGGGACCCCCCTTCCGTGCTGCCCCCCCACACCGCAAACATTGAGCTACATAAAGACAGCAGTAGAAACAGGTGCACGGTAAGATTATCACTCTCCACGGTAGCTTGGCCTCATTTACAAAGTATTTCTAGTCTTCCTCACGTATACCTAACGCTTGCTCAGCTTGCTCAAACGACACATTTGCTCAGTTAATATTTGGTCAACCTCCCAAAAATTTCTACCTTACGCTCAATAAAGAAAACTATTGTCAAACTCACGCATCAGAATGTACACAAAATCTTAGCAACAAAAGGTTTACCAAAGATTAACAGAAGGATGGAGAGATAGACATGCAACTATTTAGGCCAAAAATGCACAAAAACATACGGATGACATATAGACACAGCCCAAAACGATTTCATGGGACCTTTAGTTGCTCTCTACACTCCAGAGTTTAAAGAACATTGCAGAATGTAAACAACGGAGTTCATGTATGTGAACACATGAGATTCCTCCGCCCTCTCTACCCCCACAAATCTATCACGTGTCACTAACTAGGTGGTAAAGAAAGCTAACCAGTAGTCTACGCCCAGAACAGCTCAGGAACTGCCCTGGGTGGGATTCGAACCCACAGCACTCTGCAGTCTAGGTGAGCGCTCTACCAGCTGAGCTACAAGGGCAACTCTTCAGCTCAAATCTTCAACACAATATGACTAAGCAAAAGCGAAACCTTGAGTAACTGCTCTGGCAGAGTACAATCTCACTCAAGTAACATAAGGCATCTGCGAGTTGTTTCTCATTCAACCCCCAGTGATTTCAGGCAGCCAACTAACCTGTAAGTCTCCAGGAGCATTGGCCAGCTCTGTTGGTGTAGTTCCCACACTCTGAGTACCCGGCCGCCTTACTCCCATCAGCCAGTCCTTGCAGCTCCGTCTTGTACTCCACAGGCAGCTCCTTAGGGAAAATTAAAGGGAGAGTGGGGGCTACATTTAGAAATGTTACTAAAGATAGAAGATAGAATAAAATAATAGGGGCACAGTGAAACAATGTAACTGAGTTCTGTTTTTAGTAAAATTTATCCCTTATTTCACTATAACAAACTGTGTGAAGTACTTGTTCTTGGAAATTGAAAGAATGATAAGAACAAACATATTGGCCTCAATGAAAGAAACCCACTGGTACACACTATTCAATGCATGTGCCCAGCTTGGATTATTATCCATGCTTAGCCAACATAATCACACTCTGTGTTATTACAGCACATGCTGCATGACACATACTCTGCTAGACTGCGAGACAATGTGAATTAGCTGTGCTCCGCTTACTCCATCATTCCACTTGTCCCCCAGAAGGCTCTTCATGAGTGACTGGTAGTTTTCAGCTATCTCATTGGCCAGCAGATAGCCATATCCATACCCAATATCTGCAGCATAATTCAGTGTGAGATCTAAATACGTAGGTAAGGCTCTGCATGCTACAACAAGCGCTGGAAGTCATAGCTCTAGATTGAGCTTTATAAATCTGCCGTAAGAGCTACGGAGAGCTACTTGATACGCAGTTTACTGACATAAAAAAAAACGTGAGCCTCTGACCGTATCTGGAGCCAGGAAGATGGATCAGCAATGGGCATGGGGCATAGTCGTAGGCACAGTCCGTAGGTGATGGCGTTCATAACACCGCCACTACCAGGATCCGCCAAAGAGTGCGTCTGCTGCACATTATTCTTGCCTCACGCGGCAATCCACCAGCCCAGACGACATGAGGGTCGTTGTGGAGGCTCTTGGTGTCCTTCTGTCAACCTACTAGCACTGGCGAGGAGAGTGAAGCAGCTCATTTCCTGACGTCTGACCATCTACGCCGGGCCGACACGTGATGTGGTACCTAACGTATGTACCATCAGCTCTGACTGTCGATGTCTCTATCTAGACACTACAGAGCTCTGCCGGCCACCCTACTACTGCAGCTGGTGATGGACATGAGATCAGAACAGCGCAAACCTGCTACTGGCCCTAAACGCCATACTGGTGAGTAATTCATGAATTTGTATTAGTCGTACTATTATGTGATGTATATGATTGAAATGACAGACACGCACTAAGGAGTCAAAGATGATATTGATGTCTTCTTGAGTGTGATTTAAGAAAGAGCTATAGATTGCTTGAAGCAGTACACTTGGGGTTAAGATGTGTATATATTAACTACATTACGTTCATCTGAATAGACCACACACAAGTGTTTCGCAAGAGAATTAAAGGAGCCGGTCGGAAGAGAAGTGGAAGATACTTGTGATTATTCGGTGAACTAACCGTCCACTGGACATATCTTGGACGATCAGGCTCTCACCCCAGAATATGAGGAGTGGTTGCAAATTCGACTCAAAAAGATATAACTACTTGAAGATGTTGAACAGTTCCGACTAGCATATTCTTCCTCACTACAAACTCCAGGACTGCGATATGACTACTGCAGTTCGCCATGTTCGTTCGTCGTCACTGCAAGTACCAAGCGGCATTGTCGAGAAATGAGACAAACGTCCCGAAAAGTATTCTCAAGAAATGTTGGGTGTCAAAAAATCACTGACCAGTGCTGGCACTGTTTCTATGAAACGAGGTATTTATTATAATGCTATCTTTGAATTGGTATACCTTCAAGTTTTGTCTCACACAGAATTCACTCGGTGAAAAGCTCTCAGTATCGATAGTGCTGCACTACAATGAGGGTGGGTTGCTGATAGCTAATGCTATTCATTGTGCGCTACTTACTCTACTATGCTACTGTTTTTGTGGTCTTTCTCAAATTCAGCTCCAAAACAAACGGCACCAAAGCCAAGCCACTGTCTGAGGGAGATTTTCAATTTGTAGAGCAGCCATCTGGTGACTTTTTCTGTCCAGTCACAAAGTGTCTCCTGCTCCGTCCTCACCTCACTTCATGCTGTGGTAATCATCTATCAGAGGAAGCTGCTAGCAGGATAAAGCAAGAGGGAGGGCCATGTCTGCTGTGCAATGAGGAGGATTGGAGCATAATGTTGGACAAACGCTTTCAGCGTCAAGTAAAGTCACTGAGACTCTATTGTTGTCACAAGGACAGGGGGTGTGGCTGGCAGGGAAAACTGGCTGCCTTTCATTGTCACGTGGAGTCTTGTCCAATGAGAGATGGTTCACCCATGATTGGGCTAGTGAAACCGCAAGTGTAAGTTTGTTGCATATCCTGTCATGTCTATTACCAAAAGTTGGGCTGTTTCTACCGACACAGTGAAGAAGTTACACATTATGGAGACATTTCCGAGTCTGCATCACAAACATCTCTGGTAAATACTGCATGGAAAAAATTAGTAGTATATAACTCATAACGTACTGCAAATAAGAATTACATTTGTACATGCACAAGTGCCTGGTAGGGTCTGTCATGGGCTCTGTGCAATAAAGAATTCCGGTTTGTATATACTTACTTTACAGTTATGTTACTGAGCGTATGATATAGGCTATCTAACAACAGAAAAGCACAATTAATGTGCTTCACACTGCAGGTGGAACAACCGAGTGAGAAGGAGGTGCTGCTGCAACAGCTAGGAAGAAAGCGAGAAGAAATGGATAAAGCTCAGAATGAACTGAAGGTGAATGGTTTCCTTTGTGAGTGGTGATGATCAAACCGCGTGACTATTGGTTGAAGGAGAGTCAAGTAGCAGATCTACAAAAGCCGCTCAAGCAGAGAGACCCAGAGACAAAGGTCATTATAATGAAGGTGTTAACTTTTCATTCATTGAGAATGAATATACTATAGCTTTGGCTCACCACCCTTTTCCTCAGAAACCCAGT